ATTGGAACGGTGAAAAGACCATGAAGATTTCTCCACTTATTAATGGTGGACATGAATAAAATTATGAAATGAAATTTTGAATTCGTTTAATGTCAACAATTTCCCAGCTGAGTTTTCTTCACGTTTGATGAAAAGAATTGACGGGGAAAGTTTATAATTACAAATGTCATTGGTTTGGTTGCCATAGTCTTGAGTTGTCATTGTTGGCTTTGATATTGCAAATAGAACTGATGACGAGCATGTATTCTCGTGGCTATATGGTTAGTAAGGTTTAGTTGTTGGCCAATACAGTTGTAATATATTTAAATTTCTCTTCTTTGGTTGATGAAATGTGAATAGTACTCTAGAAGTGCGAGTCACTAAATTTATTCGATATGTGGCTGCACTTTGAAGCAATTTAAAAGAGAAACAATTGAAGGAAAGATTGGAAAAAAAAAAAAAAAAAAGGTTTTTAAATTTACTATGGGTAATCTAGTCTAATTGTGGAAATGAATAAAATCATAGAATGAATTTTGATTTTGTTCAATGTTAACGGTATTGCAGATTTGGTTTTAAATTTCTTTCCATTACCTAGTAAGTGTGATATTTATTTAGCCACTGATGATTATGGTTGAAATGTATGATATTTACGTTGCTGATGATGAATATGGCAAAAAAAATTCTGATGTTGGGTATCACCAGTGATTTTGGCTAGAGATATTGAAGAAAATTGTGGTAATGGCTACATATAGCCAATGATGGTACATGGTTTACCAATGATTGTGATTATTATGTTAGTATTTATCTAACCAATGGTAGATGTGGTTTGATAATCTAGTAGTTATTTTAGGCCATACGGATTGTAGTTTGATGTGGATATTTATTTTGCCAACGGTTATGGCTAGAATTTCTGATATTTATTTTGCCAATGAATGTGGCTGGGAATCTGAGAATGTGGGTAAGAATCACAATTATTATTTGTGGGTTTGCTTATTTTTGGAGTTTGAATAAAATCGTAGATTGAGACTATGTTTTTATTCACTATAAAAGGAATGGTGAGAAATGATCCAATTTCTTTTTGTAACTCAATGGTTGAAATCTCGGGGATGAGATTTATTTTAACGGGGGATGAATGTAATACCTAAAAATTTAAATATATGAATATATGAAGATAATAAAAAAATAAATCAATTTATGGTTATGAAAATTTAATCGAGAAATTTTAAAATTTTGTTACCGGGAATTATTATAATTTTCGTTGTAAAATTTATTGATAAGTGAAAAAGATGGGAATAAACTTAGTGGGTTTAACGTAACTGTATGAGGTCATATTTTATACTTATACATATTAAATTATTTCTTGTTAAATTTGGATAGAACACGGCCATACGAGCGCATAGGCGCAAATCGTTCGTGAAACGGAGTTATAATGAAGAAGTTATTAGCATTTAAAGTTGAGGACATTTTTGTAAATTTAACCCCCTTTAGAAGGCTCCAGATTTTCTGGAGCATTGAGATTCTCCCACGTGTGTGGCTAAGATAAGAAGAAAAGAAATGAAATGAAGGAAATGGACGGCTGTGATGGAAAAGAAAGGACTGAAAAGGGAGGGACACAGATGAATCAAGGGGGAAGGAAAGGAGGGGAAAGAAGGGAGAAGGAGGAGAGAGAACTGGATCCCTTTGCCCTACTAACCCGACCCGGTTCCTTGACCCAGTCCTACCTTCCCTGTCCAATGTCTGTTGGAGGTGATTCCAGGGTCTATGGAAAGCTCTTGACGAGCCCAACATCTCTGTGGTGTTAGATTCTTAAATTTCTTATCTAATTTTACGAATCGAAGCCATAAACCCACGGTTGTTACGGCTGGTTTCTCCTTTTTTCGATGAATTCCAAAATGATTCCCTTCAATTACCACCACCTTTGGACTCCCCTTGAGGTTTGGAACAAAGTCCATGCATTAGTTGGGGTGTTGGAATGGTTTTGGAGTCAAATCAAGAACACCAAAAATCAAGGGTTTCTAGTGCTTCGAGGATGATTTGAGGTGTTTCCAAGCCGAATTGGACTTCGGCCCATGTATGAAAGTTGTTCCTCTCATTGAACTTTACTTGCCTATAAAATTTGGTAATTTTTAGGGTTAGTTGGAAAAATTGAGTTTCCGTTCGCAAGAAACCGCCACCCACAGCGGCACTTGGCCAGTGGCCCGATGCTGTCATTTTTACAAATGTTAATACTTTAAATATGCATTTGTTATCGAATTGATGTGTTTGTTTGTTAAACCCAATGTTGGTTATTTCTAATACTTGAGTAGTTTCGGAAGTGGATTGAAAATGAAAGGTGAACTACGGAAGGCTTGATCCCATATTAAGGGTACGTAGACAGTCTAACAAGGGTTAGATGCAGCCTTAAATGTTTGAGTTTAATCTTTTGTTGAGATTTTGTTTGAAGGAAAGAAACTTTGGTGAATTATTTGGAATTTAAATCTTATGTTTTGGGAAGTAAATTATGGGCTAGATTTTATGAAAGATTTTGAGAAAGATTAAGAAATTGAAATAAAGACTTGTGATAAATTGATAGTTAATTAAATAAGAGTTTAATTTTGGCTTATCATCGGAATTATCTCCCGAAAATAAGTATTTCGGGGTGGGGTGTTACACCCTAGACTGCAAAAACATTGACAATTTGTGTGAGTTGGATATGGCGCTCCTCATTTGTTGACAAGTTTGGAAGGAAAGGAACTTTGTTGTTTTCCCAAAAAAAAATATGAATTACACTAGAATCGTGATTTCAGCGTTAAGTATAGGTAGAGATTATCGTGCAGCTAATTTGATGTTGCATAAAGGTTCGTCTGGTAACCAAATGGCATAGCCCGACACCATTCGATGGTCCCCCTAGTATACTGGTTTTGTCATGCTCAACTTTGACGGCTTGGTGGTGAACTAGCGGGCTGCCTCTGGCTTTGTGATTAGAAATGAGAATGGGTCCCCTATCATTACTGGGGTTCACTCCATGTCTGAATCCTTATTGGCGGTGGTGATAAAGAAAACCCTAGGTTTTTAACCCGTTCTAGATTGCCTAATTACAAGTGTTTGAACTTTACTCTAGGACCTTTTCCCACAAGCAACTGTCATGTCGAAACTTCTAATATGCTTTGGTGTATAGATTTAACCAAATTTTTAGCTGTTAAATTTTTGGCGCATATAGGCCAAAAAAATTAAATCTATAGAATCTTGAAGCGTAGTATAAAATCTTCAGTCACACTCACACTCACCTTTAAACGGTATAAAATTTCTTACTTTCATAAACAGCAGTCATGCTCACCTTTAAACAATATATGGGTCTGACTTTCAATTGTGAGAGGTTGTTGTTCATCAACTTAAGAAACCCTAATTCTTAAGTTCCTATCAGTTTGGCCCTTTTTTGTTTTTTTTTTTACAAAAAATCACTTCATTTTAAAGTTAAGCGTAAAAAGTGTTTGGTAAATCTATAATATCATGCTTATATTTGAAAGTTGCAATCATAAAAAATTGAGTTCTTAATGCATATTTTTAATTCTGGTAAACTCTCATTAATTCTTAAAAATGACATTATTTATCATTTTTCACATATTTTCTTCATTGGAGAATAAACTGACCACCACCACCACTGTTGCCTTCCCCACCGCTGCCGATACCACAATTGTTACATCTGCACCCCACTATTGGCACCACCACAATCGTCATCGCCGCCCCATTGTTGTTGTTGCTATCGCCACCACTACTACATCTACACCCTAACCACCACACCTTACTATTGGCATAACCACCATACTCCCACCATTGTCGCGACCATTACCATCACTACCTCAACCACCGTTGTCATTGCCACTACCCCACGATTATCTCCATTTTGTCATTATATATGATTGTATCACTTTTACTTTAAAATTGGCCAAACAATTTTACACTATTATTCATATTCACAACACTTAAAAAATACAGTTTATCAAATGTTCTACTAATTTATTTTACAACTGATTAGTCTTAAAGAACAACACAAACATTTTTTTTAAAGCACAATAATCCCAAGTTGACCAATTCTTAGGCCTTGGAAAGCCTTTGGATTATGCCACATTAATATGAATAGGACTCGATTTATTTTTCTTCCATCTAATGGTTTTAGGGATGCAAACAACATTTTGCGCAATGTCAAGTTGTTTTCTTACAAACATTTTTTTAAAGGCAACCGGTGTTCTATAATGATAGGGTTTGAACACAGAATACAATTTGTAAAAGCACTATAAAAATTTCATTTGCACTATAAAAATTTTAAAATATAAGCGAAAAATACACTTAAAAGGGACGTATGATGACTTTTTATAAGTATCTTTAACAGCTCTCTAAAATCATGACACATATCAATTTGAATCTACAACCAATTAGTAGCTCCTATAATCAAATACCCTTCATATTTCTTCATTTTCATTTGTTTATGTCATGGCATATCGGGCATGGCCACTCCATCCATTAGCCTGCGCCAATCCCCTCCGCCAAACCCTTCTTCTACAACACCGTTCAAACTGATGAATCTGATCCATTAGTTGCTTAATCATCATGTAAGTGTGATTTATCAAACTTAGAAATCATTATCAGTTTGATATATCATAAAAAGGAATTTTACGGGGGATGAGAGATAAGTATTTGGTTATAGATGAAGATGGAGTAGGTTTTGAACTTGAAACGAAATGAGTTAAGACAAAGATCCTAACCATTAGGGCAATTCCCGCTTACAATTGCACAAATTCTTGTAAGTGAGAGGTTTTAGGTTTGATTCTTGCCAAAGCAACCTCATTATTGTTAGCATATTATGAGGCTAAGCCTATCTCCTGCCCCTTAATATAAAAAATATCGTTTGTTCAAAAAAAAAAAAAAAAAAAAGGGAATTTTGAATTAGGCCGTCCTAGCTTGGCCCATTCTCTGCAGGTTCGTTGGTCCAGCCCGTCGCTGATGCTAGAGCTCTGGAAGCTTTGAACGGTAAAAACCCCAACTCCGAAGCTCCTCTAAGTATAAAAACATCAAATCATCTTTCCCCCAGCTTCCATCTTCGCCTCTTTCTATCATTGTTCATCGCCCCAAAATACGATCATAACCTGCTTTTTTCAAAAAAAAAAGAAAAAAAAAAAAAAAAAGGATCACAACCTGAGGGGATGAAATGGAAGCTGCAAGTGAGGCAGGGAACGCCGATGAGCTCGAAGCTATGTGCATGGAAGACTCCTCTTGGCACCCATGCCAAGTTTCTCTCAGGTGAGCCATCTATCTGAAGTTGAACCAACCCACTCAGCATTGTTCCAAATAGATTGGGATCCTGATGTTTATTGAAGAAACTCACCAATGGGTTTTGTTTTTAGTAGATTTTATGAGCTGGGTTTTCTCAAAGTTGTGATTTTTTGTAGTGTTTTTGACTAGATGATCACTGGGTTTTCCTTAGAGTAATGATCGGTTTGGATCACGCAATGAAATGTGTTTTTCTTGACTATCCCATGTGCATGTGTGTGTAGTACTCATTTTGTTCATGTATGACTACGCCGAAATGATGCTAAATGATATGTCTTAATGCATTGTCATGTGTGTGATGTAATCAAACAATTTAATCCCAGTTCAGTTGTGAATTAGTATCCGGTCATCGTGTGCGCGTGCAATGAGCAGGTGGTCAGTGATTTCATTTTCCTTTTAAGTGTGTGATTACTCAGTGATGTTTACTTCCCAAATATTTATCTTTCTGAGTAAAGTACTGCTACTCTTGTCCGGTAAGAGTGCCATATGTCATGACTGTGTATTGGGATGACTATTCTATATTCTGATTCTCTACAGATTATGAGAGATTTGATTTTAACACTAAAGTAGGATTGTCCTGAATTTACAGAATTAAAGTCAGATACTTATGTCTTCCCCCCCATTTTGGGCATATAATTATTCAATTGTTGGATATGCATACAAAATGTGTTGAGGTGGCTCCTTATTGTGGTCCACAGCTCTACTGGAGATAGCCTAATTGTAGAATTTGGGCGCCAGGAGTTAGAAGATATGGTGTTGAACAAGGATGAAGCACTTTCCCGTCTCCGCTTCCGTTCTACTCCTCTTGAAGGCAATGACTGCGCTCACATTGAAGGAGAGAAAGTTCTTGCAATTAACAAGTCACAGTTTAAGAGCCACTTATGTGATGCCAAGGTGGAAAAGGTACTTATCTGCTCCTTAATTTATTCAGAGCTTCCTTGAAACCAGGCTATCATCTAATCATAAGCTTTCTACTTTCTTGAATTAATTGTTACTCATTATATAAGTGCTTGATTATATAATGCCTAATCAGTCTAAATATATGTATATATTTAGTGGTTAAGAGAATGTGTCCTTATAAAATTACAGTAGCAATGGGAATGACATTGGGTTCTTACTCAGAAATCCTTTGTGTATCTGGTTAATAGCTTTAAGATGAAAAAAATTAGACTGTTTGTGTTAACCATATCATGTTCTAGTTGATTATAATGTACTGCAGTCCTAGGCTTGTGTGATAATTATGATTTACAATACATGTTATGCCTTTTGCATGCAAAAAGCCATTCTGTTAATTGAGTTCATGTCCCAACATCATGACGACTAGGTGCTCAGAGTGAGACACTCACAGAGGGTCTATTGTAGATGCACTTTCATGATCGAATGGCTTCACCAAGAACTCAAAGGACAGACCGTGACTCTCCCCTCTAGTTCAATTATGAAACTAGCAAGCAAAAGCATCATTGTCCATCCAACTGTTGCTGCATTCTTGAAATCAGTTAAACAAATGGGTCCGAATAGTGCTTCTCCCTTTCCAGTCATGCATGAGGAGTTTGGATTTGAATTGGACCTTAACAAATTGCTGGAAAAGCAAATAGAAGAGATCAATATTTCAACTAATGGATTCAGAAAAGAAATCACAGAAAACATTTTAGAGGGGGTCAAAGGTAACCAGCCGTTCTCGCTACTTCATATGTTTAATGAATCAGGCTTGTTGTTGCAATATCTCATCCTGGATATCCCTTTTTTATTGTTTAAAGAAAATTATTCCCATAACCGATATCTATCAACTGTTTGCAACCATATATTTCTTGCATCTGCACCTTGAACCTGGAATGTCCTTCTTAAGTTGAATCAGAGGAATATGGTACTTGCAAACTAATGAGCAGTAGATGGGCTTCACTAGTGTATCATCCATGCCACATGCATAGTCGGGTAAATGTACTCCCTCCTTTCCCCCCCACCCCCTCTAGCTCTCATCAAGAAAATGTGGTTGACATCAAAGTTAAAGCTGAAGGCCTACATGGGAGTTATTCTTGCAAGAATTAGCTGCTTGATACCCAAGTATGCTGGAGGTGACTCTATTCGAACTGAAAAACTTTTCTCAGTTAGTCCCCTACTCTTTTCCTCTCCTGTAGGCTTTTAACTTCCATTTTACTCTTAAAAGGCCGATACACAAAAATCAGGGGAAAATAAAAATTCTACAACGCCTCTCCCACCCTAGCCTAGGCTGGTGTGTTGGCCATGGTCATTTTGAATGTTTAACCTTTTGAAGTTTCAAAAGAAACTATTAAAAAAATAAAAGTGAAAAGAGATATGAGGGGGATAGATAAGTCATTTCATTAACAGGGAACTTAGGGGGTGCCTTGTTCATCAGTTTTCTTTTGGTTTTAGATCAAATCTCCCTTGAAATTAAATACATAATTACATTTGCATTGCTACAAACATTTAGATTATTCCTAATCATGCATGCAGCTGATAACAAGGGACACATTCTACTCAATCCTGTTGCTGCATCCAAAATATGCATTTCAGATGTTCAGGTTTCTCATGACCAAGATCAATCAAAAAGTACTGCTCAGAGTTCTATTGAATACGAAGTAAACATAGAAGATGAGGGTCTACAAGCCCCTCGCTCATCCATGCAAGAAGAGCATTCAGAATACAAGTCTCGCCTTAGTCCTCTTGGTGCTCGTGCAGCTCTGGCCTTACTAGTATCAAGTAGTCACAAGCATATTGCTATAGGTGGGACTGAACTTTTCAAATCTTGTGGTAGTGACAACATGTCTACTAAAGATACTAAAGCTCATAAGAATGAAAATAAGACTTCAGATGCTACAAAAACGAGCTCAGTTGTGCAGAGAGGTTTTGAAATTCAAAATAGTGATACTCACCTGAGAAATTCTGCCAAAGAGATTAAGCCAAGGGCCTTAACCAGTGCAAGAAGGTTGACACGCTCAGCAATCCAACAAGAAAAATATAAATTGACCGTGACAGTTGAACAAGGGTTGGACGAGAGCAAGTCAGCTCGTGCTGCAGGGTCATTTTCTTCAGTAGGAAATGTCACCATTCATGAAAGCAATGTATTGAAAGAGAAGAATGATGTATCAAAAAAGAAGAAAGTAGTCTCTTCGCCATTTCATGCCGAGAGTAACATTCCTATGGAAGAAAGAGATAAAAAGCTGATGTCTGGTGATGCTGGAGCCATTCAAGATATATGTGATCCAATTAAGACTTGTGGTAAAGAGTCTAAAAACACTAAGTCAGCTGTTACAACCAACATGAGGAGGTCGACTCGTTTGACATGTTCTTCTGAAGAGAATGGAACAGTTCCTGAAAACCATGGAAAGGAAGAGAAAAGTGGTGGACCAAGAAAGAAAACAGCTGTCTCTCCTTCAGCTGACAAGGACAAGAATATGCATGGCGAAGAAAGCAATGAAAAGCACATGTCTGGTGCTGTCACAAGATCTGGAAACACTCGACAAATTGAAGGTTACATATGTTATATTCACACGTGCATGTGTATTTTTCTGTCTTGTTATAATCATTTGTGTTATGTTACTTGGGTAGACCGTAGAAAACAGATCTGATTTGCAGAACTTCTAAAACATTTAACACAGTTTGCATTCTGGTCTTCGCCACTGTGTATTGTGTTAGAACTGACTTAAAAGTGGTTTGTTTGTTGTCCCTGATCAAATTTCCATTTATTTAAACTCAGGTCAAATCTATTTGATTACCTTGTTATAAAAAAATCATGTCTACTCTACGGTTTTCCTTTTTCTTTCTTATTGCACGCCTTAGTTACTGTTTAACCCCCTTTTCATTTTAGCATTCTAAGCTTAGAATTATGTAAAGTGCAGGAAAAGTTTCAGGAAGTGGTGGTAAAAGCCAAGGCCAGAAGAGGAAGTCTGCTTCCTCCAGTAAGCAAGAGCTACGATTTTCTCCACGATTGAAGTTTCTCCCTCAGACTCACTCACAAAAGAAGTTTTAAACTAGCTTTCTTCATCAGGATTACTCACAATCAAGTGACGCAGCATTTTGGGGACTGGAAAGAGGTAAAACTGTTTTTCCTCCTTTGCATATGTTTAAAAGCGAGAACCGGGACTACAAGTGAAATGAACACAAAGTATGCTTCTTGTACTCTGGATCATCTATGTGAATTGGTTGCATGAGTGAACATATCAACAGCTTAGTTGCTTGTTATATATCTGTTATAGTTCTTCCGTTTTGGTATTGCCCTTTTGAATGGGTCTTGTTGGCTCCTCTACAGCGTATGGATTTATTTGTCATTTCCTCTTTGGAGGAAATATTTATAATTCCAATTCCATTTGTCTTGCCATTTGAGCCAAACCCACCACGCCACGCTACACTTGAAGCAGTGTGAATGGTGACAAAATATGAATCAGTTCAAGATAACACGGCATTGGCCTCTATTTAACACATGATTGCAATTTGATGCATTATGTTCATGTGTGTTAAAATGACATTATGCGTGGAGCAGCTCGTATTAGCCAGTTATGGAGGTTTTGAGAGCCAATAGTTTAACTGTTGGGGTATATTTGTATATTTATTCTATATTTTGAGGGAATTAGGCATTTTACTTGTTATGAGTTTGTTGTCTTCTTAATCGTATGAAGTCACACCAAAGGGGATGAATCGCATCGAGTCAAATTTACACCAACTGTGAGTCAGACCCTATTGCCTCAGACTACTACCCATCCTGATGCTTCCAAGTTTAGGAAGGTAACTAGCATGTTTGTTTGCATGCATTGCTAAAACATGAAATTGTGTTTTTTAGACAAAATAGATCGAGTTCATGTATGCTTGCAGTTTCTTGTCTTTGTGAAACTAGTTAAAGGCTGTTGATTAAGTGGAATTATACTTGAATGCCGGGTCGTGATTCTCAGTCTGACAACATACTATTACTAGGAGCTCTCACACAAAATATTATGTCCTCGTGTTAGGCATCCATCTTGCAAAGTTCCAATTCCTAGAATCGTGTCCAAATGTACGGTTATAGTAATATAACATGTCAGATTGTTACGTAGGAAAGCGCATTAAACATATACAATAGACAATTGTCGTTGTTAGTAGTCGTTGTCGTAGTTAGGTCATACAAGCATGTTACCAAGTCCTTTTCAGACATGGTGATGGTGCGCCTCCCATGACATATATTATTGGATGGATTGGATGTATAACGGGAAGGTCACACTCAATGTTGCTTCACGATGATATACTTTAACATGAGTTGAATTTCCCTCCCAAATCTTTTCTTATTTATATTCTTGTCCCAACACTTTGGTTTTTTTTTATATTTTGTTGTCAAAGTCTCTTTCTATTTCTTAATTAAACCAAAAAGAAAAGCAATGACGTGATTGAAATTCAAATTTTTGTAAGCTTATAATACTTTGATTTGTACTTTTGTTTTTGTTTCTTAAATTGATTTTAATTTATTTTATTTTATAAATGTGAAAGGAAACTAACCCCAAAACGTGGGGATTTTTCAACTAGCACCATGGAATTTAATTACTATTTTGTCCTTTTTCAAATTAAATTGTTTTCTTTAAAACCTTAATATGTCATTTAGTACTACGGTCTCTTGTAAGTAAGAGGTCTTAGGTTCGATTCTCGTCAAAGGTGAATTTGAACCATATTATTGATGTGGTTTAGCCTACTTCTTCACCTTCTTAGTGTAGATAATATCGTTAAAAAAAGACACCTTAATATGACAAGAACAATTTTAGCTAAAATCTTTCCTCTTTTAAGGTGTTGGCTTTATATACACAGATATAGATATGGATATATATCCCATTACCATTCTGGTATAAGGTGGTGGTTGGTTATGGATAGACTGTTTGATTTTGTTTTTTTTTTTTTTTTTTTTAGCTACGCCCGTTCAAATTTTATTTTGATCTCACTCAAAAATGACCATTTTACTCCATGAACAAAATTTGTTCCCCTTTGACTTGTGGACTCTCTTCTCCCTGAAACTTATAGATCGTCTCCTAAAACATATGTGGGATCTAGCAACTAATAAGGCTAGCCACATATGCAATAAATTTGATTATAAATCTTCATTATGCATTAATATTCAACAATAAGTGAATATTAAGTTTAAAAGAAATTGAAGAGATGAAAAAAATAAAAAAGAAATTGATTAGTCTGGCGCACCCAAATCAAACCCAAACAAGAAATTAACAGATCTAAGATAATGTGGAGCGAATTTTGAGTTTTATAGAGATAATTTTCAAGTTTTAGGGGGCAAAATGAGATCAAATTCGAGTTTTAAGGAGTAAAGTAACGACTTTTAAGTTACAGGGGCAAAGTGAAATTTAAATCGAGTTTGGATCGTAGCTAAAAATAAGCCTTTTTGATAATATAATTGTGTAACCTAATCATTTCGAGTCTAAACAAAGAGATAATCTGTCTTGTAACCAGGACACATGATGAGAAAGATAGACTAAGAAGATATAAGGTCGGAGATAGCTAAGAATGCTTCCTTGATAGGACATGTTAACTTAGATATTGTCACATTATCATGGTTGGAAAAATATTAATCACAGTAGAACACATGCGTACTGGAGTTTATAAGTCGTTCATGCTTTTAGAGTGATTGTTAGCTATTCATATTTTTAGAATCTATTATTTCACATACATCAACAATCAATGATCGTTTGTACGTGATATTATATTTGTTACAAAGTGACTTTCACACATTTTTCTCTGCACATAGGGTGTTTATTTCTGATATTTAGATTAAAGAAATGAAATTTTTTATTGAACCTATATTACCTTACTTTACACCCAACTTACTTTCTATTTTCATATTATTTTTAATTAAACCATCAATATCACTTTAAACGTAATTTTTTTTTACCTAAACTTCCCTCACAAACCTAATTCAATTTGTTAATTTATCTTTATACGCATTTAAACCTCATACATGGCTGTTGGCGATCCATGATGCTGGTTAAGGTGCTTGTTGATGAGAAAGTGAGAGGAAAACATAGAGAAGGATGAGAAGTCGGACGAGCGGGAAGAAAGGGGTGGCGGCGGAGGCGGAAGCTGCCATACAGTCGATAGGGTCGGGGAACGCATTTGATGAGGGACTTCAAGCTCAAGTACTGTAAGAGACAGGCAGCAGCATCTTTGAGAGAATCATGCTTCCGCACTAACCCACGAGGCTAGGAAGAAGGCCAGTAACAGGTTAGGAAGCAAAGAGTATTGGGACCAAAGTGCACATCTTTGAGAGACATTGTTTTCAAAGAGGGAAGAAGCTTGTTGTTACTTGCTTCTCCTGCTTTCAGCTCCTCGTGAATGCCTTTCTTTTCAGAAAAAAGGATCAGCTAGTGGCTTCGCCACCGCAGTCCACCTTTTCAGGAATCATAAAGACTCGTAGAGACAATTCAGCATCCCCACCATCGTGAATAGCTTTCGTCATGACCTTTGTCCTTTTAATAAAAGCCTACCAATATTGATAAAACCAAGTCATGTGTACAAAATTTACTTAAAAAGGAGAAATTTATGAGCAATATATTCGTCAAAAGAGAATTTTTTTTTCTTCTTTCTATGAGAGCGTTTTAGGATTTTAATCAAAATATAAAGTAAGAGAAACATAGTAAGGGTATGTGTTTATTGATAAATTTTAATTTTATTGTTAATTTCTTCTTGTAATTAATAGTAATTATATAGTAGGGTAAAAAAAAAAAACAATTCACATTTAAAATTTAAGTTGGGTGTAGTGTGAGATTATATGGTTTCAAATAAAATTTCTCTAAAAAAATTAAAAGAGAACCAAGAGACAGATTTATACAAGGGTGTTAAAAAAGAGAAAATGATGTGTGAGAATCATTTCTCTATCTATTTTGCCTCCCTTCGATTGGGTTGAAAGCTCCGATAAGGTTTTTATCGAGGTTTATCATTAATGAATATGATTAGTCACTTAGTTGCGGTCAGCCGACTAAATTATGGTGATTAGTCACTTACTGACTACAGTTCACTTACTCATAATCTACATGCTGGTTTGTGCTTCTCACATTCCTGTCCATTTTTACACAAAACAGCTTCAACAATTCTCAAAGTATTTAACTTGTCCAGCAAAATTTGACCAAATAAATAAATAAATTGTCGAAAAAAATATACAAGAATTTATCCTAATGACTAAAAATTTGGTATTCTGGTGCCGACGCTCAAGGGATTGGAAACAAATTTACGTTTGTGATGAAAAATATTCCTATCCCTGGTGAAATTATTTTTTTCATAAAAATTAATAAAAAAATTATTAAATAAGTAGTTCCTCAAAAGTTGGGTTGTACAAAGGGCACGATCACGAAATCTCCAAGATCGATGATTACAAAAACTAGAGGACAAATTGACAAAAAACAAAATCCGAATTGACATAAGATTCTAGTAGCTTAAATCTAAACGGCAGATTTATGCTACAATTAACCAAATAGTAGCTTAAAATGAGAAACAAACTATACAAAGATATCACAAGGTTCAATCTTGATTAGGATATTTTAGTTGCTAATGATCTACATTAATCAAAATTTTAATACTTCTCAAATGAGCGTAGGTATATATGGAGGAGGAGAATCAAACTCGAGTACATGTAACAGGCTTATGGTCTAGCCAATGTCTCGCCGATGTGTCCACGCCCACATATGCTTCCAATATTTTTTTATGTAAGTAGAAAAGAAAAAAACCAAATTTATAAGAAGAGTCTTAAGTTTTAATTAATTTACAAAGATTTCATAATTATTAAAATGTGTTTAAAGTCAAATGCCCAATAGTTTGTGTGTGTGTGTGTTTTACTCACTTGGCCCTTTTGGCTAATCGATCATTAAAAACATAATATCACTCTGATGGCCTATTTCTTTTATTTATTTATTTGAAAACTCTTATTTTCTCCATTAGCAAAAAGATAAAAATAGAGTCCCACAAAAATAAAATAAAAAATAATATGCCTCAGATTAAATGTTGAGTTGGGACAAGCTTCTTGTATAAATATAATACAAGTTGCTCCATGAAAGCATATATAATGTGTAATTCCTCTCCTCCAAACTTACCTTTCCTCCCAACCCTTATTTCCTCTCATCAGGTTGTATGCCAAAACCAACAAGCTTCCCAACACTTGAGAAGGGCGAAAACCCTTTCATCTCATTGCACACCACTAATTCCTTGTTTCACAAGTAATTCGTGACATAAATTGTCGGTCTCCACGACAATGGGAGATCACCAAACTCAATCGTTGTGGCAGATGCGCCTAGGCTCCGCCCTACGCACGGCTTTGGCATGCATCATAGTCGGCTGCACCACCCTCTATGGACCTCCACAACTTCAAAAGTACTTAACCTACTCGTCCTTTTCGTACATCACCACAATCCTAATAGTCCCGGACGCAACGGTTGGGGACGTCATGAGAAGCTGTTGGCATGTGATCTTTGCCACGGCACAGGTACTGGTGTCTTCTGTGCTGACCCTTTGGTTGGTGGAGCCTAAAAACTTTTCGGTGGGGGTAGCGGCAGCGGCAGTAGCACTGAGCGCTTTTGTGGTGGCGTTGCCGGAGTCCACGCACTTGATGTCTAAGAGAATTGCATTTGGGCAGTTTGTGAATGTTTATGTTGGTACTGTGATTCACGGTGCTCAAACTGGAGTTGTCATGCACCCACTTGGTGTTGCATCCAGCACTGCCCTTGGAGCTCTAGCTTCTGTTGTGGCCGTCTTGTTTCCTTATCCTCGGCTATCTTACTACGAGGTAATTAACTCTTCACTTTGCTTTCTTTTAATCTTTACACATGCAATTTACGAGTAATATTTTCAGTGTCGGACTTATATTGCTAGTTAAACCAGACAGTGTCTCAGGGGGGCGTGCCCCCTGTCACATTTTGAGTTCTTAAACTTCCCAACTTTCTTTCTCCATTTCCTTACTCGCTTTTGTGTCTAAAGGAAAATGCTAGGGACATAATCTTTTTAGGCCATATGTCGTAAATTATTGGGTGTGACGGTTGAACTCATTTTTCAATGATTTAAAGAAGTGATCCAACTATCAACAGTCACATTATGTCGACTACAATATATGGTCTAAAAAGATGATCTCCTTAACATTACCTAAAAAAGGTTATTGAGTTCCGTATATCTATTTTGTTAATACGAATGAGTATTAAATTATTAATAAAAAGTAAAGAAATTAAAACACTGACAAAATTAGGCAAGTTTTATCAACTAAGTTGTAAGAAATCAAGCAAGTTTTTTGTGTTGCTTCCTCTGAGTTAAATTTCTGAGTCCTTCCCGTATACATATAATATTTGTGTTGTTAGATAGTCTATCTGAGTAGCATGCATTTAAGAAATGCAAATTGACCACTGATCAATCGTATTTCAGTCTAGTAATACAATTAAGAATCTTACGTTGGCAAACAACACAATAACAAAACCTAATTTCCCGCGTTTAGTAGCATAGTTTTAAATAATAAAATTATCAGCAGGAATATCATAGTAATTAAGATGCGGATGGAACAAAGCAAAGTTCATTCCCAGTTTCCACTGTCTTACTGGAGCGGTAACGGTGCCTACAACCGATGTCAATGTGTCCAATGTGTCTATAGCCTTGGCCGACAGTTCCACGTAAACTCTTATTTGATGGTAGGGCGCTTAAGTACTATACAGCCATCATTACGTAACACCTCCTATACAGATTTATCATTAAAAACTACTAATCAACTGTCTAAACAGTATATGTGTAGAGCTTTGACACCTGGACCAATCAGATTGAAGGAAATTATAATATACGTGCATTCAGCTAATTTGGAAACAAAGTTGACTACAAAAAAAATGTCGTACGACAGATGGCAGCTTGTTGGTATCGAGACTGCCGGAATGCAACCAACAATAATCATGATTTGTCTAACAGAATTAACCCAGAATATAAATTGGGATTATTTAGAATCTTAGATATGAATTAAAAGGAATCAAGGGCATGACTTAGTCCATGACAGTTGCCTAGTTTGGGATTCGTGGTCCAATCGAAGGCCTTTGGTCTTGTCTAATTGTCTCTTGAACAACATCGAAAACGATCTAGGTAAGTCATTAGGGTTAGTTCATGTGGTGATGACGAGTGAGAAAATAGATTATAATTAGATTACATTAAAAGTTTAGTTTTCTTTCTTTACTAATAACGAAAAAGAGAATTCATGAAGCATTTAACATTTGTGTGCATGTAAAATGTGAGTTACTGTCAGTTGATTATAGTAGTTTAGAATAGCGTAGTTTCAACATTTTTTATTATATCTCCCGCTTATATACTAAAAGATCTGTTTAATTAAAGATGTAGAAATCGAATATAACACCACACTGAGGTTTGGTTGATTCTGTTCAGCACAAGCTTGTTGGGAGAGAACAAGAACTAATGATTCTAAATTCCCTAGCTAAGATCACTCTCTAGACATACTGCAAATAGTAGGGAATAATTTTTATGTGCAGATTATGTAAACTGAACTGGAAATAATGCGTTCACAGGTCTGTAAATCGTGGCAGCTGTATGCTGGAAATGCTTCCCAGAGGTTAACTCGCTTCGTCGAGGCCATCGTTTCCCGGGACAAGAGCGGAGCACTCGAACTCCTTTCTCAAGGACAATCTCTCTCTAAAGAAGCAGCTAAGCTTCTTCATAGCATCACTAATAATCTGGTAAGCTACAATTAACTCATGTTAACTCGTAAAGGACATTGCTTTGCTTCTTCCTGCAAATTACAGTTTGACGCAAATACAAAAATAATTCATCAAAAACACAAAATGAAAGAATTTTTACACGTGTCAAATTGTGATAGGCAGGTGAGTTTAAGCTGCGCCAATTAGTTCAGTACAGTAATTAAAGGCTTTTGTTTCTTTGTAAGCAGGAAACCATGGTGTGGGAGAGACCACATATCAAATTTCTGAAACCAAAATATATGGACTTGGGTGAAAGGTTGCAAGAAATGGAGGTTCCACTTAGGGGGCTGGAGATAGCTTTATCTAGTTGCTCTTCGCATCCTGTTAACCTAATTGATGAAGAGCTAAGAGGCAATTTACAAAGTTCAGAAGCACATGTTAGACTAAGGCTTCTGCAAGCTAAGTACTCTTTGCCTTCTGATGCAACATTAGCTCCAGAGTCGGACAGAGAAATCTTCGACAAGCCCCTTTTGACCAAAAAACCCACCACCAAAAACCGTGAGGACCTTCCGGCTTTCTTCTTCTTGTACTGCATGGAACTCCTACTAGAAAATCAGCCCATTGCCCGAAATCCCGGAAACACTAGGAAACCTAACCAAGAACCGATCGATTCACAAAATCAACAGCGGTGGAACTTCAAAGGCGTTTGGAGAAACATACTCCCGAGTCGCAGGAGTTTAATTTTTGCTCTCAAGTGCTCACTTGCATTAGGCCTCGCTGTGTTATTCGGCTTGTTGTATAACAAGGAAAACGGATACTGGTCAGGCCTCACCATTGCCATCAGCTTTGTAACAGGAAGGCAAGCAACATTCACTGTTACGAATGCCCGAGTTCAAGGAACGGCACTGGGATCGATCTACGGGATCTTATGGTTTTTTATTTTCCACGGACTTGAGAAATTCAGGCTCTTACCACTCATACCTTGGATCTTTATCTGCCATTTTCTTAGGTACAGCAGGATGTATGGCCAAGCTGGTGGCATCTCAGCAGCCATTGGAGCTCTACTAATCTTGGGTAGGGACAACTATGGTGCTCCAAGTGAATTCGCAATTGCAAGAATCATAGAGGCTTCCATTGGGTTGCTTTGTTTCCTAACAGTAGAGATTGCCTTTATCCAATGAGAGCGGCGGCCCTAGCAAAAAACAAGCTCTCACAAACCATGGGGGTGCTTCGAGATTGCATTGAAGGTGTAAATCTGTGTGTACCGGCTTCTACCGGATTGAGGGATAAGCAAAGGAAGCTAAAATCCCACGTCAAGGAACTAGAAACGTTCATCCAAGAAGCTGAAACAGAGCCTAATTGCTGGTTCTTGCCCTTCAAGGGTTCCGGTTACAATCGGGTCCTAGGATCTTTATCAAAAATTGCTGATCTTTTACTATTTGTGGCCTATAAAACGGAGTTTCTCGCACAAGTTGGGCAGAACTTTGGAGGTGTTTGGGAGGAACTAAGGCAACAAATGAATGTTGATCTAGGGCTACTAAAGGCAAAAATAAACTCTCCATTAAGATGCCTTGAGGAGGCCACTTCGATCAAGCCCCTGCCGGTATCTGAGACAAAGTCGGAAAGTGATTACCACGATAGCGAATTGGGCAACCCACCAAGGGGATTTGCGACTTTGGGTACTGATGATGAAGAGGTTGAGACTATTGTGAGTAATTTTCTTCAACATTTGCAGGAAGTAGCTGACAAGGTACATGCTAGTGACAGTGAAGAGAAACACAAGAGCCAAATGGTTCTTTGTTTAACTAGCCTGGGATTCTGCATTCAAAGCGTTACGAGAGAAACAATGGAGATGAAGAAAGATGTGAGAAAACTAGTCAAAATTAATGCACATACATAGCTCCTATTAGAGATGGTTAGCTTTGACAATACATCTAACAGATTGGCAAATGCCATTAGATTTTTCAATATTCCATTGACCTCAGTACACATTGTAATTTCCCTGTATCTTTCTGAATATTCACCAAAAGGAATGTTCTTTTCCATGAACCCTAAAATGTGCTTTTCGCACTTTCTACGAACAACGGATCACTTGATTCACTACCACAGCCAATGGTAACCTTCAAAACATAGTCCGAACACGGTCCACACCCTTAACAATGCAAAGGCTTGAAAACTAAATATGAGCCACAGATAAAATAGAGAAAGAAAATCTTGTGTATAACAGCACACGGTCATATTGTATACCAAAACTTCTCACTAAATCAAGTTGTATCCATTCTGAAATAGTTCACGCTACAAAATTAATAGCGTAACTCCATTGGTCGCGAGAAAATTGCATATCATTGCAAATACATAAAAAAGAAACAGGTCGTTAGTTGCCTTCATATTTTGGGTCGGCCATCACAAAATGATACGCTATTACCAGTAGAAATATGAAGATGCCGAGAAAATTGGCAAAGAAGCCCAGGTCCTGATCATCCATCACCTGTCACATCAGAATGGAAAAACTAGAAAGTTCAGCAGAAGGATTCAGTGTTCCTCAACATCATACTATCATGTGAAATACTTGTTAAATAGGTTATCCTACACACACTTGTTAGAAACACTAATGGCACGTTTACTAATCCGTAGTCAGATTGAGAGCAAGTGAATCGAGGAGGAATTGAATTGAGTAGGAAAAGCATGTGGGGAGAATTGAATAAAGGTGAAGAAAGGATGGGGAATAAATGTGAAAGGAATGTGTAGGGAATGACACACCAAATGAAAACTAAAACCCAAAAACTGTAAACAATTTTTAAGTTGTTTTCACTTTCAAGCTTCTGTTTTCATATATTCTCCCTTCATTTCTCCATCCTCGCTCCCATCACCTCCCTTCATCCCTCCCCACTCCTCGTTTCTCCCACATACGTTTCCTCTATCTAAAGCACATAAAATGAAAATTCAAAACCAAAAACGAAATGATTATCAAACGTGCCCTAGTTGACCCAACAAAAAGATCACATCTAAATGAAGTCCAAACTCAAAACCATTGTTGGAAAACTATCAACCATAAAACAAGCCACATCCCAGAAACTAGTGAAAATCAACAAACAAAGCATACAGAGGAAATCGGGTTGTGTTTATAACTTGTAAATTGGTCGGAAACGCTTAGTGTTGTGAGAAAACAGAAAATCAAACCCAACTAAACCTTTCATGTGAATAACTCACATTACTACAAATATTCATTCCCAATTTTGTTCCTATGGCAACATTTTCTAAATCATAAAACACCCATTACACTTAAATTCTCCACGCCATACAGCGATTAGAAAATTTTACGCTTCCCTTGAATTACCCCTCCTTCTTCACCCAAAAAAATATGCTTAATTTCGTATCCGTATTCAGCTAAGCATCCAATTTCCAAACCCCCACTGCATTAAAACTGGATTCTTTCAAATTCAAAACCCATAACCAGGAGGCGCAAAAAAAATTCCAAGTGACTGCGCACAGAAATACATCGACGAAACAAATAAACAAAACCGCATCTGCGTACTCGATAACGAATTTCGAGATCTTAGCAGTCGAAGCGGTCATAATTCAAAGAATTGAGAAAGAGATCGAGAATCTAACAGTTTTTGGAGTCGATTACTCGGTCAGTGACGAAGGTAGACGAAGCCTTCCGAGAGAGTGAAGAGGTGCTGTTTGTGTTGTGCATTGAGGAAAAGGAACGCGCTGATATAAAGCAGTTTGGGCAACGACGTCGTATTGTGCAGAGCCGTTGAGAATTAAAAGGGGAAAATGAAGAAAATATAAAGTGTGGCTGCTGGGATTCGAGCCCAGGTCTCCACGGCCACAACGTGGAATTCTTACCACTAAACTACAGCCACTGGGTAACAATTTATCGCAAGCAATATATTTGTAATAAATGAATGAGGAAAATTTTTCAATCGGTTACACTTTATTTAGAATTGTAAAAGTTATAATCGCTTTCGAGTTTCGACCACTCTACCAATTCTCTAGATTTTTGTATGATTTGAAAGTGTATTAAACAGACTTTGAATGAACGAGAAATGAAAGGCATGTATGAATTTTCTTTGAATTCCTCATTTCGATTCAAATAATATAGGGTTTGTCTATCCTATACTCGAATAATTAGGTATCATTGTATATTGATCCAATATCATTTCATACGTAAAAATGTATGTAAACATATGCCCTTACTTATCGATGTTATCACACTTGACTCTAGTCAATATCAGGTGTAGTAGTTACTAGTCATGTAGATTGAAAAGAATACACTTGAAACATGGCCATTTTTTTAATTTATCGATGATGATTATTTATTCTTCTCCGTTGCTAAAAAAATAAAAAAAACTATGAAGTTCTGCTACATTAGAAAGAGCTACCACTAAGGCATAATTCCTTGAGAAGTAAATGTTCATTATTTACATCAACAAAAGAGGACTACGTTGAAACCGTTCAAGTGGTATTTGTTCGATTTTTTTTTTTTCCCTTTTGAATTTAATAAAATAGTACAAATAATTTGTAGTCAAGTTAAAGCATCTTCATGAGGAGATATATGATGCACTTTTGCATTTTTACATTTAATAAATAAGGCATGGAAGGTGGCAGTGGCAATTGCGCTAGCAAAGTGGGTGAGTGTTAGTCTCCGTTGTTGAGATTGGGAGATGTGTGGCGGCGGCTGTTGGGTCGAAGGGAGAGGAAGGGGAGGACGGTACACTTATCAACGCTTAGTGTTGGGTCGAATGCTTAATTTATTTTTTTAATACTTTTAAAAATATTTAATATTAAAGTTAATTATATTAATTTAGTAGGAGGATACATGACAATCTGTTGATAGGAAGACGAATATCCACTAAATTGAATGGTAGTAAGTAAAAATGCTCTCAAAAATATAATTTAAATTTTTATTTCTCGTGAAATATACACACAATTGCATTGATAAAGATATAATAATATGTTGAAATAAATATAATTAATTATGTAAAGAAATTTTTTACATGTTAAAATTGCATCGAGTGTTTATTTTATAAAAAAAAATGTGTAAATTGTAGCAATGGTCCCTAAATTTTAATTAAATTGGAGCAATAATCTCTCATCTAAAAATCTATTACCATTGATTCCTCAATTCATCAAAATGTGTAGTAATAGTCAATTCCATCAATTTCGTCAGAATTTTGTCAAAATGAGTTATGTTGAAGGACCATTGCTACAATTGGGGTCCCTCAACTCATCAAAACGTCTGACTATGGTCATTTTTGTCAACGTTGTTAGAATTTTGTCAAAATGAGTTATGTTAGAAGGATCATTGATATAATTGGGTTAAAGTTGAAGGATAATTTCTTCAGTTATATTAAAGTTGAAGGACCAATGGTAATGAATTTTTAGTTGAGAAACCATAGCTGCACATTTTGATGAGTGGAGGGACCAATGGTGTTGAATGACCGTTGCTTCAATTGAGTTAAAGTTAAGAGATCATTACTGCAATTTATTCTTAAAAAATAGGGTTAATCTTAGTGTACTACCCTAAACTTTCTTGGTTTTCAACATTTAGTACATGAAATTTTTTTCGTCTTGGTCTGGTATCTAAAGGTATAATTCTGGGACACTTTTATACATCTGTTAAGTTTTCCGTTAGAACTTCTGTTAACTGATGATGTGGCACCCATGTGGACAATAACTGGACACCATGTGTCAATATGGGCCAACTTGAATATTAAAAAAATAAATATACAAAAACACAAAAAAAATAAAAAAAAACCATCTGTCTCCTACCTCATCCCCCCACACGCTCTCCTTCCTTCTCTCTTCTACAACTTGCACCCCTTCCCTCCTTTCTCTCTTCTGCAACCTACACCACCCTCCATTCTCTCCTTTGCAACCCGTGCCCACCCTCCCCCCGCACCCAACTCAACAAAATCCCACCTAATGGAATTCCAATTCAACAAGAAACCCATCCAATTTCTGAAATTTATCAAAAAACCCAGTTGACCCAAATCCCAATTTTGGATAAATTCCCAATTACTAATTGATTCTTAAGCATTCCTAGCCCCTACCACCACCCCACTGGACTCCGACAATGGCACGTGGTGGCTCCCTTGCTTCTGTTCTTCTCTCTCCTCAAGTGGCTCGCGAACCGTAGTTGCTCTGGATCATATTTCAAATTTTTGTTCCTTAGATTTTGGGGATTAGGGTTTTTGCAAAGGGTGAAGGTGAAGAGGATGGAGGAGAGCGAAGGGAGGGGAGGTGGGTCGGGTATAGAGCGTTGGGTGGGGGCAGAAGAAAGAAGGGAGGGACTGGGGGTGAGGTGAGGTAAGAGAGGTGGGTTTGGGTTTCAGAGGAGATGAGGGAGGGTGGTGCGGGTTGTATAGGAGAGAAGGGAGGGTGTGAGTTGCAGAAGTTCTAACGGAAAACTTAACGGATGTATGAAAGTGTCACAAAATTATAATTTTAGGTGCTAGACCAGGACGAAAAAAATTTTATATACCAAATGGTAAAAATAAAAAAACTTTAAAGTTGTAAACTGAGGTATTCCCAAAAAAAAAAAATATAACAATCGCGCCCTATTTTCGTCTTTCCCGATTGACCCATTACCCGAGTTTCACTCTCATGAGCCATGGCTTCCACTCCTGCCGCGAACCCAACCGTCCACGGCGGCGACAACGCTGATGGCTCCTACTTTCAGAAAACAGTAACTCCTTTATCTACTTCTCCACAACTTAATTTCTGTCATTTCGTATGTATGTGTGTGTGTGTGTGTATATGTAACTATTGAAAAATATTTTTTTGAATTTCTAAAGGTATGTCTGCACGATTGGTGGTTGATTATAGCCGAAAATGACGTCGGAGGGAAGGGGCTAGCCGTCGCCGGCGTGACTTCTAGAGAGTGAGATACATTTCACTGATCTAGGGTTTTATTATTTTGATTTTTGTAATTTGATTATTTTGAGCTCTTAGTTTTTATAATTCTGTTTTTGAAGGACTTAATTGTTAATTGTGCTGTTGAATTTCAGGAACGAAGCCAGGAGAGTGTTTTCGTCTGCACCAATAAGTAAAAGATTCGATATTTTCACTCTGGAGACGGTGGATGGCATCTGTGTAGCCATCAAAGGGTTCATAAACGAGCAGAAGACTATCGAAAACGGGTTTCCGTCTGAGGTAGTACTCGATAGTTGTTAATATTGCTCTTCTTTACTGATTTTGGTTGACATTGCGAATATTGTGTTTTAATGTTTTTCGGTACAAATTTAGTTGTGAATTTTGGGTTTGACTGGATATGTTGAAAAATATATGCATTCGAGAGTGTTGGGGACTCACAAATGCTGTAGTTACTGAGTATTGGGAACCGTCATTAATTCGGATCCATATTGGGATATTGATGCTTTGAACAATCAATTAATGGTAACTTAGTATTTAGCTATGAATATCGGCATTAAGTATAATTATGGAGAATGCGAAATTACCCTTGTCTTGGTTTTACAAGCACAAGTGAATGATGAGCACTCAATGTGTCTGTATCAAAGTCTAGTAAATTTACTTTGGCCAATTCAGCCGTTGCTTTGCTTGTTCGTGCTATGAGCCCTACTAACCAGTAGAAGGGTCGACCTGTAATTTTTTGTTGTTGACTAACATATTCTCACAAGTTACAAGTTTGGGATTCCATCTTATATCATTAAAATTTGGGACATTCCCAAATGATGTTTGCGGCTGATCCTAAACAGGTTTTTAGTCATTTTGTTTTTGGCTTTCCTCCTGACTGGGAACAATGTGTTGTAAAGTTCTTTGGAGGAGATTCTAGCATTGCTGGAGCTGGTCCTGAAAGTACTTCTCATTCAGGCAAGTTAGCTGCTCCTCCGGGAAGTAACACATTAAAATATCCAAATGTGTACTATTCATTCCTAAATTTTCTTCGCAAACTAATTTTCTACGTTAGTAATTTAAATATTTTCTCTCTTTCTCAGGAGTGGATGCAGGCACAGAAAGTTCTGCTCCGACTGCTGTGCATTTTGATCTGGAAGAACCTCCACATGAACAGCTCTCCTCTGAAGATAGGCATGGTGTTGAAGTCACAAAGCAATCTTCTAAGCCATTTATAAATGTTGCTGTTGATGACACAGAAGTTGATGACATGCCCAAGCATGCTGCTGAGGAGGAAACAGGAAGAGCGAATTTTGGATCAGGAGATTTTCAGGGTATTGGTAGACCAACGAATCTGGAAAGCAATCAGAAGAAACCTGTATCCAGATGCTTTACGAAGAATAAGATTACAAAAACTAGTGTGGCGTCAGAGGCCATTGAGAACCTTGGTGGAGCATCGGTTGCAACTATTCAGTCTGGAGAGAAAGTGGACATATCAGAGGAAGATCCAAGACTTTCTTTGGGTGAACTGTTCAGAAGTTTGTCAAATCTTTTAAGTAGTAAGGGGAAAGAGAAGCAAATGCTGGAAAGTGGATTGAACTGTGAGAGAAATACAGTGGATTCTGTTCCACTTCCAGCAGTCTCTAAAACTGCGAGCAACACTTTAGAAAATGACAATTATAAGGGGAAGGGGAGAAGTATGTCCCATCCTTCTGCTTCTGAGCTTCAAGAACCAAGTACAGTGGATTCTGTTCCAGCAGTTGCTAAAACTGTGAGCTGTTCACAAAATGGTAATTGTGAAGTAGGAGGGAGAAGTATGTCTTGTCCGTCAGATCCTGAACTTCAAGAACCAACTACATTGGATTCTGTTCCGGCAGTCTCTAAAACTTTGAGCAACACTTCACAAAATGATAATTGTGATGTAGGAGGGGGAAGTATGTCCCGTCCTTCAGATCCTGAGCTTCAAGAACCAACTATAGTGGATTTTGTGCCCACAGTCCCTAAAACTCTGGGCGACACTTCAAAAAATGATTATTGTGAAGTAGGAGGGAGAAGTATGTCCCAGCCTTCAGATTCAGAGCTTCAAGAACCAAACGGCGGGAACGTGATAAAAAGACTAGATTTTGACTGTCTAGAAGATTTGGAACCCACCGGCATTGGAAAACAGGGACCAACAGCTCAAGGTAGGGTGCATGCTGGGAACAATTTGATAAGCTTTTTCACCCTCTGGCCTTCTCTTGAACTAATCAAACTGACAAATTCATGTTGCAGTTGGAGAAGGGGCAGTTAACGCCATAACAGAAAACACATCCAGGAAGAAAACTAGGAGAAGAACTACCAATATTGTAGTTGGAGAAGGACGAATTGACGCCAAAACAGAAAACACACCCAGAAAAATGAGTAAGAGAAGAACTACCAATATTGTAGTTGGAGAAGGACAAATTGACGCCAAAACAGAAGACACATCCAGTAAAAAGAGTAAGAGAAAAACTGCCAATATTGCAGTTGGAGAAGGAAAAACTGATGCCAAGAAGGAAAACACACCCAGGAAGAAAGCTAAGAGGAAACCAACCTTTGATGCTGCGGTAAGCTGGCTGTAGTAAAAGCAAGTTAATTGTCACGTATCTCCAATGGTCTTGTTATTATGACATTTATGTTGACTTTTTAACGTCTGCTTAGGAATCTCCCACTCCAGAGGAGAACAAGAAAGTGTCTATCGTTTCTCCAGAATCTTTGAATTTGAAACGGTCCAGAACAGGTTAGTTTGTGCGACTCACTTTCTCTCTTCCCCCTTCACACACATTCAATCACACAACGGTTCTACTTTTCTTTTACTATATGTATCCTTAGTCTGTCAGTTAATATCATCACCAAATGAAATACACAAGCCCAGTTATAGTTACCATGGCTAGATATATGAGGGAACTTTGGATGCACACTTCTGTTCAAATGAATGGTTCATAGCATTTGGAACATGTCTCTCTAGTATTTTCAGTTTTGTATTTTGTTAAAACAACAGAATTTTAATTTGTACTGTTCTATTTATTTATTTATTTATTATTTTTTGTCAATATCACTTTGTTTAATTGATTTTGTTTGTGACAGTGTATCAGCAAACAATGAAAGTTATAAAAATGTGATTTCTCTATGTTGCAGGGAGACTACTTCTACCCACCATGGAGTTCTGGCGGAATCAAGCGGCAGTCTATGACTTGGTTTTTCCCTACCTTTCCTTTCTTGCTTTATTCATTTTCCTTTTATGTTAGCTTTCGCCTGCAACTATGTATGCTGCACACTCACTGGTGGATAGGTGGAAAATATGTAGTAGGGTTTGATTTATCAAAATTACACCAACTTATCCAAAAAGAAAAATAACTCTTTTGAGTCGTACTTGTACCACACTATGTAGGGGGGTTTGCTACATAATTTCTTTTTATAATTTATGTCTACTTCCATAATTTTGTAGTCTGACTAATTATTAGCTTGAAGGTACATTGACACTCTCTTGGGTTTTATTTTTAGGATCGTAACATTACTGGAATTCAGGATGACCGACCTGTAGTAACACCATCAAGAGGTTTGTCCCTTATAAACTGTATTTAGCTGGCAACTCTTTTCCCTCCTAAACATAGTAGCGTTTAAAGTTGACTGCTTCTGCTATTCTCTAGCTGGCGATATATCAATAGAATAAACTGCAACTGGGGGTTTGATACTGATTTTAACTTGGTGCTTTCCGGGTTTCTTTCATTGATTACTGACTCTATAGTTTCCTCTACCGTTTTGTGGATTTAATCTGCTTCTTGGTTTGGTTTACTGTAATACATGCCGATTATTGCATGCGTCGCATGTTTTCAGGCAGCAAATCTGGGTCTCAGAAAAGCAGACTACGATGATAGAGGTTGGTTTTCTAGCAAAATTTTAGACTCATTTCCTTCCTTGTTGTAAGAATTGTTGGTATCCAAAGTGAGCTGAATACAATCTCAAAAAAATTCAAGTTACGTTGACAAGAATCACCAGTTTAACGTTTGACTTTGTCATTGTAGAATCTGAACACAGGTTACGGGTTGGAACAAGAATCTCAAGGAGTTTGGGGCGTACTAAAAGCAAAGAGGCACGTGTCAGGGATTCTAACACGGATGGGAGAGATTAGAGGCTGTTAACTCATGTCAAGCTGACCGCTACTCGATGATAACCATTTTGGAAAACTGCACGAGTATGTATAGGAGACAACCTGAACTCGGATCTATCGTTTCTACTCTACGCATTGGATTTAAGTGAATCGTTGTATTGTCGTGATTATTTAGAGTGCTTTTGTAACCCATGTAGACTAATCATTGCAATTCAACAATAATGACTTATTTCGTTCGTTCGTCTAATTTGGAACTCTGCGGCAAATACAGATTTGCCGCAGAGTTAAATTACGTGCAAATTTTCTTGAACAATGAGGGAAGTGAGTCATTTGTCCTTGGGGTCTCGTTTGGTATTCAGACATCAATCGGAAGGATTTTCAATCTTGCAGTTGAACTTGAACCATTTTCAAGCATCAACTCAATCCGAGTCACCCCGATTTCTCGGACGTAGATAACGCTTATATCCAACGGTTCACAGTCCTTATTATCGAAAACACACAAAACTCGCCACGTCATTGGTCCTCGTGAACCCACAGTCCGCAAAGCATCTACAAACTCCACACCAGTCGTCGAACCAAACACAATCCACGGTCCCCCATCACCCAAACCCACGGCACGGATCGCAACCCTTAACCGTCGATTGCGCCCAATCCAACAGTCCTCGCGTTCCCCCCAAATCTCACGTAAAGAAACACAACCCACGTATCAAAGCTCCCAAACCTCTCTATATAAACCCCCTCCACCTAACCTGTCCGACGCAATGCCTCGCTCTCTCAATTCGGATATCGGATCCCAAACCAAACCCTAATTTCATCTCCGCGGCAATGACTGGACGCGGCAAGGGAGGCAAGGGGCTAGGCAAGGGAGGAGCCAAGAGGCACAGAAAGGTGCTGAGGGACAACATCCAGGGTATCACCAAGCCCGCCATCCGCCGTCTGGCTCGCCGTGGCGGCGTCAAGCGTATCAGCGGCCTCATCTACGAGGAGACCCGCGGAGTGCTCAAGATCTTCTTGGAGAATGTGATCCGGGATGCCGTGACTTACACCGAGCACGCCCGGAGGAAGACTGACGGCGATGGACGTTGTCTATGCGCTCAAGAGGCAGGGCAGGACTCTGTACGGGTTCGGGGGTTAGGTTGTTGGGTATCGGATTGGGGATTCATGTAAATTGGTCGGTTGGTGTGGTGGTTGGGTAGATTTAGTTAACCAATTTCTAAAATTTAATGTTTTTTAGTTTGGATTTTAATGGAACATGAATCTATTTTCAGTCCAGCTATAGAATGAAATTTCTGTTAATTTTATCCATTTCGTTTCTATCGAAATTGTATTTGGATGCTTGTGTGTTGGGTAGTTAGGTTGACAAATTGTTACGAGCTTGATTAATTAAGTTGATTCGTACTTAATCAAATAATAAGTAGAGTCGGGTTAGGTAGGTGTTCAACATATTTAAGAGACCGATTGAAATCCAATTCTTGGCCCACTTGCCTATCTTGGGTAACTGGACCAAGGTAGTGGGCTCGTCGAATCGTTGAAATGGGCTGAACAAGTATATTATTAAAATTGTTTGGTCTAGCCTACGATAAAATCCAGTCAAATGGGCTCATATGCCACAGCAAAGTTCTCTTGGAAATGTCGGGTCATAGGCCTAAAACTGACATTTGAGCCCAAATGCTCCTTGGATTGCCACTCGACTACATGACTTTAAAATTTCTTGGCTTGTGAGCTCCACATGGTATCAGTTGTAATAACAACCAAGGCCATGTCTAATTATTAAAGCAGTAGACGCAAAAAGAAAAGCACTTCTAATAAGGCTAGAAAATACAACTTTGATGGGATTTAATAATTATGGTTGGTTTGGTATCGTTGTGTTTTGAAAAAAAATTGATTCTGTTGTGCTGTGAGAATAAGCTCATTTTTGTTGTTTCATATTTTTAGCTTTTTTTCACTCAAATTTGTGAAAATTAGCTGTTTTTATATGTTTACCGAACACTTTTTTGAGCTCAGTTTTTTTTGATACCCACTTTTTATAAAAATATCTCAATACCAAACCAGTACTTAGTTGAGGGAGATTCTGTGACGAAGAGTGAAAAATTCAATTCTGGCAACCCAACACAAATTTTCTCTTGACAAGCAAGCAATCATTTTGTTGTACACCAAACTTGTTTACAGATGAGTTTGATCAAATCAACTGCAAGCAAGTTCCCTTAGAGTAGGTTTCATTGTTAAGGGCATTCATGAAATTAGACGTTAAATAAAATTAATTTTGGCTATATATGATAAATAGGGTTTAGATGGATAGTTGTTGAGTTTAATTAAGCTACTTCGAAATACAAATTGATGAGGGATGAGGGTATATATGACATTTTCCACACTGCTTAATTTAGGTTAAAGGGCTTAGTTTTCATTACAACGAATAAATTGTACACGTAAAGTTCATATCATATAGTTTGGGATCTTAACATATGAAATGAAGACATATATGTAGATATAGTCTCAGCATCAACATATATTATCCAAAGCATCTGTCGGATGAATCCAATGTAACACCTTTCCATAATTATATATACGACCCAATAATCAATCCTTTTCAATTACTTACCTTGGATTCTCTTGTGGATGCTAATGGCATCAATTTTCATGTTTAATTACGCTCCTACTAATTAGGGTTTGCGGGAGAGTTCTATTATTATTCAATTACTCAAGGAGGTGATGAATCTTATGTGGTTATTCTCATCAATAATTTCATGCTTCAAATTGTAGAGTAATATTTATTTGGCTCTGAAAACTTACCTTCAATCTTACTTTTCCTTTTGAGATTCAAATTTCGTCATTTAACTCTCTTGAAACTTGATTTTTTCTCCACTTTGATGAGATTCTGTTTATGCTGTCAAACGTGTTTGATTTCTTAATCAAACCTAACCTAATCAAGACCTTTATTGCAGACACCTTTATTGACAAGGTTTGTCTTTGAAAAGTCATCAATGCATGCGTGGAAAAATCATTGAAATTCACTATATAATCTGCGTACATAGATCTTACGTGTGCATGTCTAGAATATGTATGCCTTGTTATTATAATTTATAAATTATTATTTTTTAGGGAGTATTAACGAAACCTTCGATACTGTTCACTTTTAGCGAAAAATCATATTTTTACATTTTCTTTGTACTATTTACTACACCTTTATTTGTCATTTTTTATTAAAACTATACTTTTTATTTATTTATTTATCATTTTTCATTAAAACTAAATTTTTTTTAGACTTTACTTTAGTTTTCCTTATTTTTTATCTATGTTAAATTTGATAGAGTACTACATTGGTTACTTAGTTTTAAAATTGTCTAACATGATACCAAATTTCTCGTTGAAAGTTGAGATTGCACTCTAACACATAAAATTGCCAGCGAAGTAAAGTACTACAGGTTCTTCAATAAAAAAAACAAAAGTACTACAGTACTACTAGCTAACCAGCTTGGTATATTTGATGAAAAGTGAAAACAAATGAGAGTTTGTCCCTTTTGATTTCTATTTGAACCACAACGTATGAAAAGTGAGGGTCTATTAATTCAACCAAAGAACACGATTCACACAACGTGAAATAGCCGGCAAAGATCCTCAATTTGTTCAAATGGCTTCGTGGCACCACACTCGATCAGCTTTTTGTTCTCTACCTTTTGGAAGATTTGATCATTTGGGCTTGCATGCCAATTAGAGCAAATCAGTACTAGTATTATGTCCTAAAGGACAATAATTGGATTTAATTTGTTCACATAGCTAAAACCCTATTGGAATGTTATCTATTAACTGTTTCATTTTCTTTCAAGATTACCATTATCCATTTCATTTTCATTGACCCTTTTTTTGAAAAAAAAGTGCATCAAAGAACAGTAAATAATCATGTAATTGAAATATTTGTTCCAATGCGAAAATAGAGTGGACATATATTGTTCAAGAATCTGGTAACGAATGATATATATTGTTCAAAATGGGACGTTTGGTTTCTTGGTACGCATGGTGGACGACCACTCATGACTAATCATTGTATATTTTAGTGGAGATTCACAAATAAATAATGTTCATTACATGTAAATAGTTATTTCTATTAATCCATGACACATGACTGAGTCAAGTTAGTTAAAAGAAAGGTAGTTGGGAATTGAGGTTGTTAAGGAGGATAAGATGGTAATTGAGTAAGGAGGTTAGAGGGTAATATTGTAATTGTGGTTTGTGATTTTTTAGTACATATAGCCATTTGATCTTCCACATTCAGTAAGAAAGCTTTGTAAGAATTCTTCATTACTAATAAATCTGAGAATACTTTACTCTTCCATTTTCGCTTTTTCCATTTAATCTTTGTGTTCTTTAGAGAGTTGTAGTTCTGTTAACATGGTATCATCGCTGGTCTTGGCTCGTCACCATTTCCGATCCTGAAGAAATCTTCCGCTGTCATTCGGTGTGTGCTTTGGAAATTCAAAGGTCAGAAGATTGGGTTGCTGGCGTTTAGAATAGCACAGATTTCAGATTTTGGGTGGATTTGTGAGATCGCAGAGTGGGTTGCAGATTTGGAGTTGTGCAAGTTGAAGATTTTGGGACATTTGCGTTGTGTATCAGGTGAAATTGTTTCTGTTCGTAATGCAATAGTGGTTGGATATTATGAAGTTGTGATAGTTGTGTATTGTATGAGATTTGGGATTAGTTTTTTGTTCTTGATGTGTTGATTTCAGAAAGTATCATTCTTTCTGTATATTTTGGAGTATCATTCTGTGACATCCCACATCGCCCAGGGGAGTGATCCTTATATGTATATTCCCATCCCTACCTAGCACGAGGCCTTTTGGGAGCTCACTGGCTTCGGGTTTCATGGGAACTCTGAAGTTAAGCGAGTAGTGCACGAGAGCATTCCCAGGATGGGTGACCCATCGGGAAGTTCTCGTGTGATTTCCCAGAAACAAAACCGTGAGGGCATGGTCGGGGCCCAAAGCGGACAATATCGTGCTACGGTGGTGGAGCGGGCCCGGGAAGTGGTCCCCCCCGGGCCGGGATGTGACACATTCTCTAAGAATTGAAGTTTTCGTTGACGAAAGTGTTATTTTTTTTTTTGTGTGAATCTTGGAGTATCATTCTCCTGTGACATTGTGAATCTTGGAGTGTCATTCTCGCAAGATTGTGATTACAGCATTGTGTTTTGGGTCTTTTCTTGGAGTGTCAATCTCCTAAGAAATCAAGATTTTAGTGTTTCTTGGTGCAATTTTTTTGTTGAGTGATATTCTTACTGAAGTGGTGTCTAAAGATGGCATCTTCATCGATCAAAGTAGAGAATTTACTGGGAATGTTAACTATAAAGTTGTGGGATGATAATTTTGTCAAATGGGCATTCCAATTTCAGTCAGTTCTTAAAGGATATAAGCTTTTTGGCTATTTTGATGGTACAATAGGGTGTCCACCAAAGTATGTGGTTAATACAGAATCAGGGATAACAACTGAGGTTACATCGGGCTATGTTGAATGAGTGTATATGAATATGGCGCTTTTAAGTCTGTTACTAGCAACCCTTACAGATGAGGCTATGAAGTATGTTTTGGGGTGTAGAACTGCATTCGAGGCCTGGAATAATCTGGTGGATAGGTATGCATTAGTTTCTAAGTCTAGAGTGAATCATCTTAAAACTGAATTGCACACTATTCAAAAGGGTACAGATACTGTTGATAAATATCTGTTGCGATTGAAGAATATTAGGGATCAATTAACTACAGCTGGAGAGTTGATTTCTGATAATGACATTATAATTGCGGGCTTGGAGGGTTTGCCTAAGGAGTATTCTGTTATAAGAACTGTGATATTGGCTAGGGAGTCATCTATTACTTTGAAAGAATTCAGGTCACAGTTATTAGGTGCTGAGAAGGAAATTGAGGGTGAAATAAACTTGTTGTCTCAAAATATGTCAGCATTATATGTTAATGGTGTGAATTCTTCTGGTATTGGATTTTCTTCTGGGTCTGGTTCCACATCTCATCCTGCAGGGCATAGTCATATTCCATCAACTACTGGAGGTACTATAACTCAGTCTCATTATCCTGGAACTGCACAACCATTTCTTCTTGCATCACAACCATACTTGCAGCCATTTCCACAACAATTTTCACAACCATTTCCTCCTGATCCTTCAACATTTTATCCACCATTTTCATGGATTTGGTTTTATGAGTACTAATACTGGTCCAAGGACTCAGTTTGGACATAAGCCATTCAATGGTTCGAGCTACAAGGGTAAC